CTTGGAAATTAAAGCAGCTCATGGTTTAGAGTACACGTGGGAGGACTGATATAGCAATTAAGGGACATTTCAGTCATTCAGGGCAATCTTCATTTCAGGGAACTGTATCTGTTCTCACAAGCTTGATAAATAAATATGTATAGTTTCAGAGAACGCGTGGCAAATGTGCGTTCTGAAGCAGAGGAAAAGCTTAAATTAAAATGTCATAACTAGACAAGCAAATACAGGGTTTCTAGCATTTTCTTGTAATTGCAGATGTGCTCTTGTAATGGCAGATGTACTTTTTTTTTGGTTTGGCGTATTTTGTGCTCGTTCTGGTGCTTGGTGTTTGAAATACCTCGGCTCACTTATACCCCTATTGCCGTAAGACCCCTCTGGCTTGCAACACCTTGAAGGAGGTTTTCTTTCACAACACGGGGTGTAGACCAAATATTTAAGAAAAAGGAGAAGCACGGAGCCCAGGAAGGCCACGCTGCAGGCAAATAGTCTGCTGCAACGTCAGGGAGCAAGTCAGGTATGCCGCACAATTCCTGCCTCCCATTTTAGTTACAGGATGCAGATTTCGGTTGTGTGAATTGCCCTGGCTGTGCTCTTTCATTCGTTTGCTTATGTGCAATATTATCACAGCAGGGAAAGTGGGCTGTAAATGTTCCCAGTACCCTTATAATAATTATAAATAAAATAACAATAATAAAAATTGCAGGGATGGGTTCCACCGCTCTGGCCTGCTGGCTGCCTTTGGGTATTTCAGTTTTGTGGCCCTTTGTAGGTCAGACATTAAGAAATAGAGGGTTGTCAGGATTATTTTTCTTTCTTCTCTGTGCACACATGCCCAGAGCCTCTCAGGCCAGCCTGCCACACATACCATTTCACTGTGGATTTCATACAGGGCTTGCACCTATGGGAAATGCTGCCTGGGGGGTTTGTTTTCCTTGGGATTTCTCTGATATCCGTCACATAGGACCAGAATGAGAGATACGTGATGGTGTCTGAGTTGCATGTGTGTCTGCTCCCAGTTTTCCCTGGCTAATGCCGATTTACCAGTGCAAGCTAGTGGTTGCACGAGGTGTGAACACCTTTCAGAGACAGCCCTTGTGTCCTGCAAGGAGCAATGAATCCATCTCCCAAACACTGTTACTTAAGCGCAGCTTTTCCCTTTACTTTCAACATATGTCATCATTTATTTTTTCCCCAATTCTACCTTGCATGGCTCAGCGTGAGTGGGACATGTTTGATTCGATCCTATTTTTTTTCTTCTATTTTTTAAATCTCAGATGTTGAGGCAATTTACATTAATTAAACTTCAGTTGGCTTTAAAATTGTCATGTATCAATTTTAGCAGCATTTATAGAGAACAAGATAGATGATTTAAATTACACGCCATATGGGGCAATGCTAGGGACATTTGCTATCGTGTTAATTGCTTAAAGCTACGTTTGCTATCCCCCTTCGGAGAGCGAAAGACATTCGCTCTCATGCTTACTGAATTAGGCAAAAGGATTTCCTGCTCAAATGGAGTATGTGCAGATTTCCACCCGCTCCTGCTGGCTTTTGCTCTGCTGCAAGGGTTGGCATCGCAGGGGTGCTCTGCTGCCCCTGTCACCAGTGTCCCTGCTGCCTTGTGCAAGATGCAGAGGCAAAGTGTCCGAGGGATCCCCGGCAAGGATCTCCCCAAATCCTCTGGAGGACTGAGCCTGGGGGAAGCAGGGTGTGGTTTTGTGCAAATAAGCAGCCGTCTTCATTGCCACGAGAGCGAGGCGTGCTTTGTTGTGGCCCAAAATGAGTCTGGGTTTTCCAGAGCCCAGACCTGAGAGATGTCCCTGGCATCAGGGTTGTGTCCTGAGTGTGTTGGCACGACAGGGACCAGCCCCACGAGTGGTTTCCATCCTGCTGCTGCCACGGGTGCTTTGATTTTTGCAAACAGCAAGTTGCTAATCAGCAGTTCTGCCCCAAGCATTGTGGCATGCAACTGGGGAAAGGGATTGAGCAGAAATCAGCAGGCTCTTACGGGTGAATTCCTTCCAAAAAAGTAGGTGGGTGCCCCAGCCGGTCTGGGCAGAGAGGGCTTTCCATGGTGAGCTGCAAGGCAGCAGAGGGTCACCTAAAGTTTGTGAGCCATGTTTTACAGTGAGGCTGCTGATTTCATGTGCAATGGATTTGGGGGAAATCAGATTTAAATGCGTTACCAGCAGAAGGAGCATGGACTGGTGAGTAGCATCCTCTAGAGAGATTTGGGAGTAGGGATGAAACATCTCACTTTTTCCCTGTTTGTCTAAAAAAGTCCACGTACTTCTCAAGGTAAGAGGCAGAGAAGGGTCAGAGGCAGAGAGGGCAAATATTCAGCATGGTCAGCAAAGCTTTCCTGCTTGGAGACCTCTACAAGCGAGCACTCAGCAATTGAAGAGTCTGAAACCAGAGGTCTCGGTCTCATTCTGAACCCATGCCAGGCAGAAGCTGTTGCAAAAAAATCCCTTCAAATAACAGCACAAATCAATTTGCCTTGCCAGACTGGAAAGTGCTTGAAGCTTTCCCCTCAGCTGGCTTCAGAAAAGTGGGGAAATAAACCCCAGAAAGATGTCAGCAAGGTGTTGCACAGCCACGTAGGCCTGTTTGCAATACATTTCTGCTCCTGTCTGCTGCTTCTCGCTTGGCAATATTGTGATGGGATTCTCCCATATTAATATTTTAAATGAATAAATAAATATCTGATGAGATACTGTGCATTTCCGCTATCTTTTCATAAATTCTGCAGAGGGTAAAAAGAGAATTAAAGATAAGATTAAAACTGCCTGGGTGATGTATTTCTGTGGCGTGTGGTAAACTCTCTAGGCGTTTATGCTGTGCTGTCTGCGTTACAAGTTACATCTATTTTAAAAAGCACGTGTACGTGTGTGTTTATGTCTCTGTAAATATATAGGGATCCATAAAGGCCACACAGGCTCTCTGTCATCAGGGAGGGTCCTGATTTCTGCTGTGTATCTGTTGTGATGCTAATAATGATAGGCTAGAGCAGCAAGCTGTTTTTAAAGCATCCGTGTGTCATACAAGCTATAGAAGCATGTTTTCACTTCATTTTGCTCTGAGTCTGCTTTAGGAAATAAGCCAGATGTATGGGGGTTGGAAGTCTTCTTTTGTTATGTTTGGGGGGAAATTTAATGCTTTTTCCTTCTTTTTTTTTTTTTTTTTTTTTTTTTTCTTTTTTTCCCTCTGGCTCTGCATTGCAGAGCCCAGTTCTGGCAAGAGAGAATGCTGAGCCCTTGTTCACAGCTAGCGAGAAACGCTGGGCAATGAGAGATTAGGGAGAGAAACTGCCTGATCTCCATTAATAGAAGTGGAATCCCCAAGAGCCTGTCAGAAATGGTGCTGCACTCCAGTGCAAATATTAATATTACTCGCAGCATTACAACTACATTGTTCTGCTGTTAGCCTGGATCGTGCCTGCTGCACTGACTCTGCTCCTAGAGTGAAGCCCCCAGCTTCTGCAGGACCACACCGGGGTTCCCCCCACTGGCACGACTCCTCCGAAATCAGGGAAAAATCTCGCATCCTCCTTGCAGGGCCCCTTCCCTGCCCTCCAGGCACACTGGAAACAGAGGCTTTGGGGTTAAATTCTGTTCCAGCCAGGCTGTGAATGTCTCTGGAGGACCAGAATCTATCACAGAATCTATCACAAAATCACAGAATCTATCATATAATGTATCATAGAATCGGTCGCAGAATCAGTCATAGAATCTGTGATAGAATCACAGAATCTGTCCTAGAATCTGTCATAGATCCAATCTATCCTAGAGTCATAGAATCTGTCACAGAATCGGTCATAGAATTAGTCATAGAATCATTGAATCTGTCATGGAATCATAGAATCTATCATAGGAACTATCATAGGAACTATCATAGTATTTAGAATCTATCGTAGAATCTCTCAAAGAATCTCTCCTACAAATCTATCCTAGACAGAATCTATCCTAGAATCTGTCACGGAATCATAGAGTCTATCCCAGAAGGTGCTGGCCGGGTTAAAGCACAACACAGTTGTCGTGCACCCCATGCGTTTGTGGACGATTGGTGAGGACTGATGGCTGAAGACCATGTAACCTGCTTAAATTTGTATATTTAGAGGTATTTCTGTTGTGTCAGCTGAGATTTCTTTTAGTCACTGTATTACATGTGTGGTTTGTGACATGTGAGGATGGAGCTTTGTTCAATATTTCTGAATGGCCAACATTTTTCCTGATGGGTAACATACAGCCAGAAAAGAAACTGCTATCGGGAACAGCAGCATTATTTTTACCTGGAAAGCTCTTATTAAGAATCAACTGTGACATCGGATCATTTTTCAAAATGTTTCTCTCTGAAACTTTATTAACTTCCTGCTGGCTCTCGTAAGTCATTCCTCAGCACAAACCAAGAAGCTTCCTGTCGGGTAGCTCCGTTCTGCGGGCAGGTGGAAAATTCTCGCCGTGTCTTGGCCAAGTTCTGCCCTTGACCTTCAGATTCATGCAACGGGAAAGCTCCTGGCTAAGCCGTGGAGTCACCCAGCCCCTGAAACCAGCAGCTCCCACACAGCAGTTGCGGAGCCACGGGAGGAGATAATTGCATTGTAGTTTCCGAAACATTTTTCTTCTGTCTGCTCCTGTATTTGTGCACCCCGTTCCTGGCTACCTGCATTCATCAACTTCACTGTTGTAATAGGCTATTGCCTGCACGCTAATAACCCCCTGTTCTTTAATGTTCTCTTTCTATTTAATTAATCTATTTATGATAATAGTATGTCTCATTTTGTGCTTTCACTCTAGAGGGTGTGTTTGTATTATCCTGCTGTATAGTGTTGACTGGCCCTATTATCATTTATCATTAAAGGCAGCAGCAACACTCTGGCCTGGCCTGCCAATAATTTTTCAATTAATTGCTTAGTGCTTGCTTTTTCTTTGCTTTTGGTCTTTGCCAGTGCCTTATGAGGTCTTTAAGCTTTCTGATTTATTTTTTTTTCTTTAACTTAGCAGCTGTGCTTGCTGTACACCAGGGGATCTGCAGCAACCTGCGGTGTTACGGGGGTAAGTGGACGGCTGTGAGCCAGCAGTGCTCTGGTCCCTGCCTGGGTTTGCTCCCTGGGGCAAATGGAGGCCACAAGGGGCAATGTGGTGTGGTAGGGACAGATCGAAGCAGCCTGGCTCAGGCCTGGGGACAAGAGAAAAAAAGAGAAAAAGAGCTGGTGGGATGGCATTAGCTTTTAATGGTGTAATGTCTGAGAAAGGGACTGCTGAATTTGACTGAATTTACAGGCTCCTGATGCCCAAATGGGTCCCCCTTGCGATGGGGAAGCTGTTTGCACCCAGGGTTCCTCTAAAGATTGGCACCACAGAGGTCGTTCCCATTGCCTGCACCCATCGTGAATTGTTGCAGTGTTAAACGAGGGCATGACACCCGAACCACAGCACGTAGCTCCCAACTTCCACTTTGCCACCACGGCACGCGTGCTGCAAGGATGACAGCTCTCATCCCACGCATCTGTGCCCACTCTGGTCAGGCTGCTTGTGTTTGCCCGCATTTCAGCCCCCAGAGCAGGTGAATTTAGAAAACAGAATAGCAGCAGACCACTCAGTGTGTATATTGAGGGGGTGAAACACCCAGAGCTGATGTTTTGTAGGAACGTTCAGGTTTTCTTTGTTTCCAAGTACTTCTTTACAGGCTTGACCTGCTTACCTTGAATTATTTTTTTTTCCAGCCACATGGCTACTTGTTTCCTTCCAGATTCTCCCAAGTGTTTTATTTTTAAGCAGATGCTCTTCTGGATCGCATTCATGCCAAGTTTTGTCTTATGTTCTTTATCAGTACAACAACATGAAATATTTAATAAGAAGTTATCGCTGTGGCCAATATGAAAGATTAAATAGGTCTGTCGGCCTCAGTTCCTGAGGAGGAAACCTGGTATTCAGAAAGTCAGAATAAACAGCATCAAATACACAGATGCAAAACCAGATGAAAACATGGGAAGATCTGCTTGGTGCTCAGCAGCTTCTCCCTTCTTCATGCCAAAGGCAGGGAGAGGAAGGGAGCTGCATTTGGATCTAAATTTGCTGCGTTTTAATTTAAATCAGCGTTCCCCTGCAAAAGAGGGAGCAGACAGCGAGTGCTTGGGTGTAGGAGCCCTGTTTGTAGGATCAACTTGCCACCCAGCTGGCCTGTCTCTGCTTTTATCCTGCCTCCTGCATGCCCTCGGCCTTTCCTTCTGCCCGTGAAACCAGCCGGCTTTTCTCCACGCTCCCCTGGGTCCCTGCACGTGTGATTTGAGTCTTTTTGGTTTCCTGCAGCAAGGACTTGCTGAAACCACCTCCATGCTGAAAGCAGCGCGCCCGGCAGCTCCCGGCACGTCAGCTGGAAGCCCCTCGGGGCTGGTGGGCAGGAGATGGCTGGGGCAGCCTCGCACAGGCACAGAATGGTTTGTCTAGACAGGAGACATGCTGAAATAACCTTCCCGGCAGCAGTGCCGGTGCCAGGTACCAGTGTGCCTGACCCCACTGGATGCCAAAGCCCATTTTCCTGGGGGTCACGCTCTCTGGGGCACACGTCTGCCTTTCCCGGTGGCTCATTTCAGCCAGGAAGGGGCTTCTGTGCTGGCTGCCCCACTCGGGAGAGCTGTTTCTTCCCAAAATAGCTGAAGACGATGCGCTTGGCGTGTGCTGGTAACGTGAAACAAGCAGATAAAGGATGGGGACGGCTGTAAGAAGCTAGCAAACAGTATCAGTACTCTGTGGCTATAATAGTGTTTTAATTCCTGTAAAAATGTGTACGTGACAGGCAGAGGTGGTCTCTGAGGGGAGTGATAATCCCCGCAGTGTGATAAGGCACGTGTATTTTTCTTCTCGTTTTGCTATCCGTATGATTCATAGAAAGACCAAAAAAAACATTTCATTTCTCACACACGCACTGCACTGTACAGTTTTTACTGTGAAGGCCCTTTGATCATCCGCTTAGCTGCTACTTGCTTGCTAACATCTTCACGGGTTTTCCTTTGTGTGCTAATAAAAGCTGAAATTTACTATTGGCATCATTACATTAAAAAAAAAAAAAAAAAAAGCATTAAACAAGCAAGCAGGGCTATAAAGCTACAATGATTTAAAATTGCTGCCGTGCAAATTGATCTAATTCTATGTGCTTTTGTTTTATTTAGGTCAGTGTGTCGTTGTGAGAGCATGTCCATGTCAGATCGCTGAAGGATGCCCCGGCGTATGGAGTGCCCTGTGTACGAGGTGTGTACAGGACGCAGTGGATAAGGTATGTGGTGAGCCCAGCTGGCACATGCCAGACTTGCAGGGTTATCTCGTGTCTTCTGGTAGCCAGTATTTGGAAAGAAGTGGCCGTGAAGGATGGGGAGGAAGCATTGCTGCCAACATGGCTTTTTGCGACAAGAAACTGAGGCTAAAGCAAGGCTGCTCCAAGTCTACAGGGGACAGGTGCCAAGAAACAAGGCAGCTGAGGCCAGGCCTACTGCCCCCTCCCAGTGCAGGCATTTTGGGTTTCTTCAGTTCCTTCTGGTCAGGAAATTACAATCCCTGCCAGTGAGCAAAGGCCCTGGCACTAATCAGCAGTGGCCAGCCCTGCCTGAAGTTCTGCCATCGCCCTGAAATACTGAGAGCAATAGAGACCCCGCAATTATGTCTTCTGCTTTCCAGAGCTGCGAAGTCTCTCAGCAGATAAGAAGCTAAATTCATTGAGTAAATTATTCCACTGTAAATTATTCTCTCAACTCTACTGATTAGTTCTTACCTTGGAGCCCACTTCCTGCCTGCCTGCCTGAAGAAAAGATAAAATATTGAATTATACAGTTCACTTCACAGCACTATGCATTCCTAATCTTATAGGGATATAGGGGCAGATCTTCAGATGATGCAAATCAATATGAATAGACAAAATCAAGTCCTCTCCTGAGCAAAGCTTCACTTCTAAACTCTTTGGACCTGAGTTGCTTTATGCTAGCTCAGGGGCTAGCCTATTATTCTCGTAGCGGATACTCAGTTTGCTTTTTCTTTTTCTGCTGTTGTAGAATTTTCGGTAATTACATTGATTTTACAAAGCAAAAGTACACCGTCCTCTCCAGTGACCTCCAGGTAGAGTTTGTGATTTATTTTCAAAGGGTGAATAAACATTAACTCCTTTTAAAAAGTTTTGTCTGTCCCTAGGAATATCAGATTCTGCTAAAGGTGATACTCTGCTGGGTTTGATCTGATTTAATAATGCAAAACTTGAATAGCAGCAACAAATGTTATTAGATCCTAGCTCGTGCTATCTGTCCATCAAAATATTATGAAGTCCTGAAATTATTAATAACGTTATTATAATACCCAGGAAGCCGCGGCTGTGAGCAGCTGCTGTTTCTGGATGCTTATTTAACTCTCCGTGACCATGCTGCCAGTGTTGTTTTTTCATTTACCCTTAGTGGTTGCATCCTGCAAGCTCTCTTCCCATTCTCCGACCGCGGCTTTTCCTCCCTGTCTCAACTCCTGGTCGCATGTGTCTATCAAAAATAAGCACTCTCCACCTCCTTACATGTGGATGCAGAGCCCTCCGGGGGATCCATCCCACAGGGAACACTGGCAGCACAAAATGCTCCGGCTTTTACTCTCGTGGGGCATCGTAGTGGGACTGCAGGTCTAAAATACTACTGGTTTGGGCTGCAGTGCCTCTGTGTTTCCAGTTTTGCTGAATAAGCAGGTTTCTATTAGGAGAAACGTTGTGAATCAGCCATATTTCAGGTGCATTTGCACGTGCAGTCATCTTCGGTGGAGGCTAATAAATCCCGGGGAGAGCATTTGCAGTAATTGCAGCTGGTGGCTTCGTCGCTTGGCTTGTCCCTCTGCTTCCCTCTGTGCGGAGGGATGGGCGCCACAAACTTGCTGCCAGCGACACGCAGGCACAGAGCAAGCTTTTTTGCATTTGCGTGGGGAAAGGCTGCCATGAGTTGCTTCAATGGTGAGATTTTCTTTTTTTTTTCTTTCTCCCAAGTGCTGCTTGTACAGTCAGACAAGTGACCTTGGCCGGAGCGGTGTGTGCACATCACGAATGGGAGGCCGGCAGCTTTTGTCTGGTAAGCAAATCCTGACGGAAAACGGCAGTGGTCAACAGCTTGCACCGGTGGGCAAATCCAATAGGCTTTTTGAGGGGGCAGGAAAAAGATTGCTAGAATCGACCCCAGCACCGCACTCCATCAAAGCTCAATATCTGCCTCATTCTGCAGAGGCCTTTGGGCTCTTTCAATAAAAGGTCCCACTCCCCCCAACTCATGGTAATAGAGTCCTCTTGGACTAAAACCCAGGAGCAAATTGGAAGGTCTTTTGGAGTCAGTCCCAACTTTTTTTTTTCCTTTTTTCCCCTGTATGATGAGCATTTGGTTTGAGGGGGGGACACTGGATGAGATGAGTACTGCTGCTACCACAGTCTCAAAGATGATTCTGTATGCGATGTGCTAAAGCCTCACATCTACTGGCTGTGAATGTGCAGCAGCCAAAGCACCATGAATAACCTCAGAAATTTGGATGATAGTGGCAGATAGAGAAGCATTTTTCATTATTTGAATGCTTTCCTGTGTTTCCTGGGACTGCTGCTGCTATCCTGTGCACCAGGTTTGGTTTCAGGTGTTCTCCAGTCAGGGCCCATGAGCACAGGAAGCAGAGCGAGCCAATTTTTGCAGTGGATAAGCACAGGCACACAGCTTCAGAAGCTGTTTTCAGCATCTGCAAGTCCCTCAGGACTTTGCACACTTGGTCCTGGTGGGCCCAGGGGTCTTCAGCCACACAACTCCTATGTGGTGTAGCTGCTTGCACGCTGCTCTTCTAACAGGCCCACTTCCCATACCCATTTTTCTTGAAACAAGGTGCTTTGGTGGTGTTTTTTTTTTTTTAAATCATCCATCTTCAGCACACACAGCTGCAGTGCTTAGTATTTGTATGGGCCGTGGAGGCTGCAGTCATGCCACAAAGTCCCACTCTAGACCAGGACCCTGAGCATTTGGTAATCCTCTTAACAAAGTTAATATCCCCTGTGCTTCTACGATAAGCAAGAGTGAATAGAAATTCTCAGTCTGTTCTATATCTTAAAGTTCAGGAGAGAAATTAACATACTTGTATAATGAGCTATATTTAAATAACAGCATTGTTTTTTAACTGGAGAAATTTTTGTGCTATTTTCCTTCCATAATGGTATCTCCATTTACCTCTGCTTTTCAAACTTTCCATGGAGTCAGACATCCTTTGATGCTAATTCACAAACGCTCAGTAAATTCCCATCGCTCCTAATCCCTTCGCCTCTCATTCTTTATAAAATGTCTTAATGCCTTCAGCTAGGCCCATTAGCGCTGGAAACATGGGTCTCGTTGGCCCCTGGCTGTATTAAAAGGAAGCAAGCGAGGGCCTATTTATAGGATAATCTCGCCAGCCATATAATCCTCTTTCATTTGGGTTTATTTCCTGTTGGTTTTGTTTTACCTCTTAAATCAGTGCATTCTGGCACTAGCCATTCAGGGCACATTTCCACGACTTGGCCCCGACACCTGTGATGCTGACCCCATTACACAGCTCAGGCTTTCTGATCAGACGTCCGTCACCGCTGCTGTTCTTCACAGGGGCAGGAGCAGCGCGTCTGCGTGGCCGGAGGGAAAGCTGCTCATCCAAAGAGCTCGCCTCCAACGCAAACGCAGCCTTTCTTCCCTCTTCTTTCTGTGCTTTCTGATTGTTTTACGGTTGTACAGGGGATTTTTAATTGTCAAGGGTTTGCATTATGTGTGGTTTATGAGCAGCTCTTGTTCTGGAAGGTGCGATAAAACGATGCAGTGTAAACGTTGCTCGTTTGAACAAACGAGAAATCAGTGTTGACACCAATTTAGATGCCACCGGTTGAAAATGAGTGGTTTCAAATTAACTTTAAGAAGTCAAAGCTGTTCTGTAAAAATCAGCCTTCCCTTCTGGATGTAACGCAAACAACAACAACAAAAAAACAGAATTCTCCACTATGTGCTCAGCACATAGTTTTTATTTTTGTAAAATATCATTATGCTCAGTCAAGACAGCAATTTGTAAGTGCTTACAGGTTGCAGTTATGGACCCTCTTAAATGTCTAGCCTGGTACTGATTAGTTAGCACTGATTGCTTCTACTTTTAAGGAAAACAACCCTCCTCTGCACACAGAAACGCCTTGATTTCAGGGGCAGAAGGGACAATTGACTTGCTTTTCCCTGTTCTGTAAATGGACCGTTGTATTTTTCTGATTTGTTACTTCTGTGAAGTGGTTAATTTTTCCTAATTAAAAAAGATCCCTATTTTCTAAACAGATATTCATCTGGCTTCAGCATCCAGATGTTTCATGTCACGTATTTCTTTCCTGGTACTGAGTTCTCCTGGAGATTCTTATGAAGCAAAGACACGATCCTCTTCCCATTCCTGTTTCAGAAGACTCTGCAGGACATCCATTGTGCCATAATAATGTGACAGTCATTAGGAACGCAGCTGGTATCACGTAAGTTTTATTGGGTTTCTCCTGTTAGAAAAGCTTTGCTTTAGCACAAGTTAGTCAGAATAAGCGCAACAAAGCTGCCAGTTTAAAGGACTAATTGTGGTCAGGAACCCGCCGGCTGCTCATTGCTGAACCCCAGTGTCACGAAGCCACGCTCTGCTTCATTAGTGATCGTGTTTGCGTTGTATATGGTGGCTGTGGGGTGGAGAATGGTGTGAATCTGGTAGTAAGACCATGGAATTAACACCCTGGTAGGGGTTTCAGCCTGGCTTCACCACAAAATGGGACTAGGTGCCTTCAGAGCAGCTTATCCAGCACCCTGAGGAGGCAGCGCTCCCTCTCCGTGCCTGTCTTCTGAAACCTTAGCCTCTAAAGTTGGTAGGAGAAATCCTGGTCCCAAGGCTGTGTCTTGTGGCAGTGGGATGTATGATCCAACTGGATTTTTAATCTGTGCATCTAATTCCAGGAGTTCTGGTTGATCACAAAGTCAGAAGGCTGCCAGGCTTGCTGAAACAGCAGCAGTGCTCTGTTCTGATGTGTTTGAATGGAATATGGAGAGGTTTGTGTCTGGACACCTCCAGAAGGACAAATTTAACCCGCTCAGGTAAAATGGATTAGGGCAAGGTTCGACTTGTGCAGAATTCCTTTGAACATCTAAAGCTCCTGTTGACAGCGGCGTGCTTTGTACATGAATTTGGCTCAGCAAGATGGGGATTCTGCACTGCCGTTTCCAGAGCTCGTGCTGCCCGAAGGATGAAATGAAGCTGTCACTGACGGAGCCCACCAGGTTAGGTGAGCACGTATCCTCTCTCCTGAAGTGTGACACAATTTTTAATCAAAGCTGATGCTTTTGTAGAGTCCTGAATTTTGCCAGCTCTGTAAGGCTGCAGACAGCTAATGTTCCACCTTTGTCAAACTAGATTTAATGTATCTGGGAAAAGAGGCAATCTGATAATGCATTGCTGCTATTGACTTAGAGGACGGAGCAGGAGGCTTGCTCTGCTCACGTGGATCTCCCAAGGAACTCGATATTTGACTACAAAAGCTGAGAGCTCTTTCATCCAGGCACACTTGATTTTAGAGGTGATAGGAAGAGCACCAGCCTTGCTTTACAGCTCAACTTCAGTGATTTGTGTGTGGCTGTTGCTCCTTTCTTTGCTCTGCCATGTGGGACCTGGTCACTGCTTGAATTAAGGCATCAGTAGCTATGGACTAAACCACCAGGACACCAAATTTCTGTCCTGTCCGCAGAAGTGTCCCCTCTGCACTATCACAAAGCTACACATGTTCCTGCCAGTGCCTTGAACAACAGCTCCCAGGCTGCCAGGGCTTCCTTGTACGACAGACACTTAAATACCAAGGCATGGCAACTTCTGTGGCTTCCTCTGGGGCTCAGGAATCACCCATACGATTCGGAAAATAAATAGTGGGCTGACATGAAATTCAATGACAAAAAGTATTAGGCTAACACTGAAGTGATCTGAGCCTGCAAGCATTCTCTGGGTATTTTTATTTTTATTTTTTAAGCAGAATACAATGCTGCTGCGCCTTGTCGTGAAGCACTAACATGCAGCAAGGGCTCTGTCAGTACACTGCAAGGCCTTTGTAAAGTGTTTCCCTGAGAGCTGTTTTCTGAGGAAAAAGTCTGAGCCTGCATGAATAAATGATGCGCTGCTAAGTTTGTCCAGCAATACCTGCTCTGCAGTACAGCAGCCCTCGGTGATCAGCTGGAAGCCAGCGGGCCCTCCAGAGGCTGTTGATGCCCAGGGCAGAGTAGCAATTGTTTCTTCCCCTCTGCTCCTGGAGGTGCATGATGCTAAAAGCAACACTGAGATGCAGGCTGGAGAGCAAAAACGTGGCAGGTGTGTCTGTTCCTCTTCCAGATCCTACCACCACCTGTAGTGGTAGCATCCCGTTACTCCAGGACAATTCCCTGGATGTTGAGGCTCATAGCAAAGCTACTGATCAAGCACAAGTCCATCAGACTGCTTTGGACATCAGCTTTGCTTCTCCTTCTTGAAGTGCAGCCAGGGGATCCCGTTGGCTGCTTCTTCCAAATGACTTCCTAACACAATGCAGTAGTTGAGCACATTTCCAATTAAATGCAGCTCCTTTATAAAACAACGTTCAAGTTGCTGGCCTAAATTACTCCTTAATTAGGTCATTTTTTCCTAATTGATTAAAAATAGGATTTCAAATTAAAACAGAAAGATTGAGTAACATCACACAAATGATATTATTCAAATTTGAAAGGAAAAAAAAATCATCAAAAAGAAAGAATCATTATATTGAATTGCAGATCAGCTGTAGATAAGACATTTGGGATTGTTCTCCAGAAAATCTATTATTTTCCAGCTTTGAAATTAGGGCAAGGATGCAATCAAATAAAAAAAAGTTTAAAGCCCAGAAGAAAAAAAGCCATTACAATGCAGCTGATCACATACAAAATTATTATTACATATCATTTGTAGTCTGGTAGTACCTAGAGACCCAGCCTAAGACTGTGGCCCAACAGGCACTGTAGAAATGAGCCCTGCCCCGGAGAACTTGCAATTAAAGTCAACAAACCAGATGATGGGACAAAAATTAGAGAGCAAGAGTTAACTTTCAAAGCCTGCAAGAAAAGCTGAAGGTAGCTCTAAAAATAAAGCCAGCAGGTCCATTGGCCTCTTCTGTTTCTGAAAAGCCACAGCTGCATGCTGTTGTGGCTGCCAAAGGCAGCTCCAGCACAGAAATGTGGTGATGGAAACACTCTGAAATGAAATGTGTAAAAAAAATAATGCATTTTACTCTCTACTCCACTAACTTAATTCCTGCCAGCATCATAAACCAGAGCAACAAAGCTCAAATTTCTGTTTTTGCAGGGTAGATTGTTTATGTTTGTGTGTTTGTGTTTTTTTCAGGGGGCTAGTAGTGGGATGCTTGAAAGACAACAAACCTAGACAGACTGACTGCAACTCCTAAAACCAAACACAGGTAAAATGATGTCTGTAACACTAGACAACTTAGGGACATCAGTGTTAAAGGATATTGACTTCAATGAAGGTCTGTCAAATATCAGATTCTCTGGCTTTGCGACTGCCACCCTGATTATCTGAGTTGGGAAACTAGTCCTGGGTTGAAGTCCAGTTCTATCTGTAGATAATGTTTCACTGAATAATTTCTTTAGGAGAGAAGTACAGTCTGTGTGTTCCTGTTTTCCTTCTCTTCCAAACAGTTCTCTCTCCCAGCTCTGTCTTCAGTTTGCATCCAACACAGCACCTGTGTAGGTGTCTGTTTTCATGTCAGGATTAACACTGCATCTCTGCTGTACTCCTGCTTTGCCTGCATTCTCAAACAGTGTATCAAAAACGGGTGTCCATCTGTTCCTGTCCCCTTCAACTTCCTGTTTTTTGTTAGGCTTGGCTTCTTACTCTCCTTTTTCCCCCAAAATGGTGTGTGGCACCACACTGGACAGCTTTCTGCCACCAATCTTGTTACGTCTCTCTCTTAAGAGAGTTTAACCTATTTAGAGTGTGCAGCTACTCTTATTTAATTATATGTGATTTGACTTCGCATTTGTTGAATTTAAACTTCATCTTCCATTTTATCTGTCAGTTTCTGGCAGCTCCAACTATTTGCAATCAACTTTTAGCTTTAAAACCTTGAATAATTTAGGAACATAGGCAAGCTGTGTTACCTTGTTATGCACAGCCTCCCACCAGAAGCTGAACAGGTTGGACCCAAAACAGCTCTGGAAGAAGACTAGCACTAGCCTGCCTCTATTCATTCCTGCTTCTTCTCTCTATCAGTTACTTTAATCAGTGATCTATGAGAAGACCTTTTGTTTATTACCACGCCTGCTCAATTTTCTGAGCTGTCTGTGAAAAGCTTTGTCAGCAACTCTTTGCCTACCCAAGGAGAACGCACCAATGACCGCTCCTACCTGCATGCTCACCGATGCCTTCAAATTGTGGGGCATGAGAGTCCTTCCCACTTCCAGGTCTGGGCACACAGATCAGCTTCCCCCAAGGCTCAGAGCAGGATATAATGCCTTTCCCATAACCACACCTGAGGTCAGAAATGAGTGATGTTGTTTGGTAGCAGCTTGATGCTGGCTGGGCATGTGCCAGGGAGAGGACTTTTGCTGCTGGGACACAGCTCGATCTAGCCAAGTGTCCTGACTTCCTTCTTTCTGTGTATCATTGACTTGTTTCTGTAGCCTCTCATAGTTTTCTCAGAGCTTGCAAGTCTTAAATATCTGCCTTCCCTTTGTCTCCCAGGCAGCAGCTGAACATTGATCAGACAGAGGGAGTACAAAGTTCTTGTACTGCAAACTGTTCCATAATCCTTAAACAATAATGTTAACATCTGAACATCTTTGATTATTGCAAGTGTCTCTGTCAATTTCTATTTTCCTGTGAATTTAACTCTCCTTGTAAGCTGTCTTTGCTGACAATTTCTAGTCCAGCTATGAAATGTGAGGAAGAACGTTGTAATAAGAAAGGCTGTGGCTGTGGTCTGCCTAGATTTCAGTAAGGCTTTTGACACCATTTCCCACAGCATTCTCCTCAAGAAACTGGCTGCTCATGGCTTGGACTGGTGCACATCTCATTGTGTTAAAAACTGGCTGGATAGCTGGGCCCAAAGAGTCGTGGTAAATGGAGTCAAGTCCAGTTGGAGGCCAGTCACTAGTGGCATCCCCCAGGGCTCGGTGCTGGGGCCGGTCCTCTTTAATATCTTTATCGATGATCTGGATGAGGGGATCGAGTGCGCCCTCAGTAAGTTTGCAGATGACACCAAGTTAGGTGCGTGTGTCGATCTGCTCGAGGGTAGGAAGGCTCTGCAGGAGGATCTGGATAGGCTGCACCGATGGGCTGAGGCACATCATTTAGTCTGGAGAAGAGGAGGCTCAGGGGAGACCTCACTGCTCTCTACAACAATCTCAAAGGATTGTGTAGCAAGGTGGGGATTGGGCTCTTCTCCCAAACACCACGTGATAAGATGAGAAATGGCTTCGAGTTGCAGCAGGGGACGTTTATGTTAGATATTAGGGAGAAATTTCTTTACTGAAAGGGTTGTGCAACATTGGAAAAGGCTGCCCAGGGAAGTGGTTGAGTCACCATCTCTGGAGGTCTTCAAGAAATGTGTAGATTTATAATTTAGTAGCATGGTTTATTGGTGGACTTTAGTACTAGGGTAAAGGTTGGACTAGATGATCTTACAGATCCTTTCCAACCCGAATCATTCTATGATAATAATTTGGGGTGCCTCGTAGTCTGTTAACAGCCAAGAAGGTAGAAGCTGGAGAATAGAAATGTGAATTCGCTTGCTGCTGGAGGGGTAAAAAAAAAAATTATTTTAATTTGGAAATGCAGAGGATCACCCAACTCCTGTTACCTTTTCATTTTTTCTCTGTGGCAGTTCATGACTTCTGGGAGCACATCCGTGCAGCCTGAAAGTATGTGCAGGAAGTTGCCAGTTTCCCAGGCAGGAATTTGCTAGGCCTATAACTCAGTGAATGTGGTATCTCAAGAGGAGAAGAGCACACCTCTCGTGCTGCAGTTTTGAACAGGAGCTCCCATATGCTGAGTTCTATGAACTTTGTTATGTATTTGCAGCGCTACCATCTATGTGTTTGCTGTAAAGCTGTTACAGAAGCTGTTTTATAGCAGGATGATATCCTTTTCTTAGTTGTTTCTGTTCAGTATGAATCACACTCTTGTACCAGCAACCAGCTCTCCTTTGCTGCTGCTGCCCAGACTTCTTTCATCGACACCTTTCATTTATTTCCACCGCTCCATCCTATGGTAAATGTGTGTCACTGCTTTCTCTCCCACTTTTCGCTTTCTCTTTTGCTAGGTGGGTATCATGCTCTACAGCACTGACCCCTTCCCTGGCAAAACCATACCTGCTACCTTGTCCCAGCTGGCTGATCCAACAGTAGACTGAAAAAATCTAAGGACGTGGATTGGACTGGATCTTCTCTGCCTTTTTTTCCAGAGGTAAAATTAATTCTGCAGAACATTTTGACTAGCCCCAAAAATAATGCAGTTTAGAAAACTGTTTGAATAAGACTGTCATGATTTAATTTTTCAAGCCACTCCAAAAATAAATGATTTATATTTTCAACACAAAGGATTTAATATGCTTTTCAGAAAGATATTTCCATTTCAAGCCACTGCTGAAATGCAACCTCTGTTTAACAACTATATTAGTTTACAGTATGAGGCAGGAAAAAAAGCTTCCCTGAAATGCAGCCATTTTCACTCAAAATTATCCCTTTTAGGAATCAAAAAAAAACCAACACACACATGAAAATCTGCATGATTTTGGTGCATGAAATTGGGCCAATTATATGACATTTAGGGGGAATATTAACATTTCTCATCCTGAGAGCTATAAGTACTTTTCAAATGTCTCCCGTGACATCTTTAATTCATCCTCTCGTCCTGAGTTTTCTGTCACCTGAAATGTATTTTTACTGTATTTGTTGTAGCTATTCAGGAAGTTTAACGCTGACTTATAAGAAGCTTTCTTTATAGCATCAGAAGCCTCTGGGCTGTGGGTAAATGTGAACTTGGTAGTACAGATCAGGCTTTGTTAAATTCTCCAGTGCTGAAAACCGTGTCTGGATCCAAGTATGTTTAATAAAATTGAGTTTCAGTAGAGGTGAAGTATTACTATCTGATTATTATTTTCTGATAGGGTGGATTGAGAATAAAATTATTAGTAACGATTAGGATTATTCATTGTATGTATAGGTCTTTATGTCCACTCATGCTCAAAGTAAACTCAAAGCATGCACGACTTTCGCTGCTCGTGCAAAATGTTGTCACAAGAACATTTATGACAGTGATTCTGAGGGTGCTGACTTACATGATGTCCTCATTTCTATTTTAACAACCTGATGGGACCGCAAATGAGGGCAGAATCTGGCCTACTGAATCATGTACATTGGCTTTTATTTAGCGCTGGCTATCCCTCCAAATCTTTTCCTACCTGCTTGATAATTGGATTTAAATTATCTTTAATTACATTGTCTGGGGCTTTGTTAATATCAGCCTCTAACTAATTGTACTGTATTTTTGGGTGCCCACTTAAGATTCCATGAGGTGAGCAGGGCTGAAGGGCAAACTCCAGAAAGCTGCATCACTGCAGTCTCAGAGTCATTAATTTTGTGCAATGATAACTTTGTACTCAGAGAGCAATATTCATTATAGGCAAGAGGGGAAGCATGCGAGTCCTTAATTAACAGTAGGATATCATCAGCATAAAGTAATAGTTTAATGTTCTACAGAATCAGTGTTATAGCCTTTTAGACTGTTGGTTTTTCCATTTCAGACAAGACTGACATAAGATTGTAATTGTCTGGCTGCCATTACCCAGCTCTCATTACTCTCCAGGCAAAGGCACATCACCCCATTTCTTCTGAGTGACCCACACCTTCCATTCAAGCACCCAGATAACTGCCCAGGTTTCCATGAGACCTCCATTTCCAACAGGTACATCAACAGCAACTAAGTTTTTTTCCCCAAATCCAACCCAACCTGCTGCCCGGCCTCTGTTGCTGCCTGGTGTGAAATGAATGTATTTTATTTTCTTTGTAGGACTTGAAGCACCATGGAAGAATTATCAGAAAGCTTTCTGGAGAGCTTGGACCTGCATCCAGCCCCAGTTTTGGTCCAGGAGCATGCAGCAGCTGCAGAAGAGCAGCCTCCTCTCCACTGCCACTGCACAGCTAAGAAGCTGAATTTCTGTCCCTGCCTATCCCCAAGGAAAAGAAGGTAAAGCAGCAGCTGTTGTCATGTCTCCTTTTGGGGGATCTAGCTTCCAGAGACTACAGTACTGCTACAGTTTGATGGCTGAGTTCTTCCCAACAGCAAAAGGGTTCTGCCTGGACCAGGCAGCAAGGATGGGTTTTGACCTGTGTTATGTTACACCTGCGTTAGTCAGGAGCAGCACCTCTAGAAGGACACAGCTTCCTCACTGAGGCCAGCCCTGGTGGTGGCCCCCCATACCCAGCAGGCAAGGAGTCTCTTTGCCAGCACTGAAAATAGCTGAAGGATTCACTTTCAGGGAGGCTTCTTAAGGAGACTGACCACTCTGGATGTTCCTGTGCAGCTGGGGCTGTGCATTAGTCAGCCTTGGTGTAATTACTCTCTGAAAGCAAGACGCTATCACCACTGTCTCCTCAGCCTCACAGCTGAGGGCTAGGACTCCAAGGCTAATTTTCACTGAGGCATAGGAAAGACAAAAAGATGTTTCAAGGTTAAAATATTCGCTGTGCGTGCCAGTGAGGAAGGAAGGAAAATAATTCCCAGAAGACTAATTCTGTGTGAAGGGAAGCACTAATTTTGGAAATGGCATACCTTTGCTCCGTGGGGGGTAAGTAATACTCACAGTTCTTCAGGTGAGCTCCATACTGTGCTTCAGGAAGAGAAATGACATTGAATCCTTCCTTCCCCTTCAGTCTCAAGAAACTAGTGCCTTCAACAGAGCACTTAATTTTCACTAATGCCAAAGCCCCTGTGAGCACAAGTTATCAGTATTAAATCATATATTTCTTCTTGCATCTGGGCAAGATTTAGAGTAAGGAAAGCAAATGTCTCAGACAAGACTAAATGTGCCTCTTCTGCTTCTATGGATGCCTCTTCACGGTAAACTAAATGAGTCTTTTCTTTTTTATTTCCTAGGCTGTGAGGTCTCTTAAGGAATCTGCTCCTATGTATTTGGCCAACGTGTGGCACTTCTCTCTTCACTGAAGCAGACTTAAGGTATGACTTGCTCTGAAAACACATGCTCTTTAATAACAGAAGCCAGACACCAAAGAAATTAGAATAGGTAGTCTCTCTGTGTCATTTATTAGACTAGACCATTGAGAATTGCTTAAAATAGAGCTTTTGTTCCTCATTTAAGTCAAATTAGTCTATTATCAAGTCACTGTACTTCATACATGCATTTGTGAATGCTTTGATTCAGGTATTTTTTTCTGAGACTATTATTTCTTAAGTAAATCCTGTTCATTTTTTTTTTTCTGAAATAAACCACCAGAGCATATTGACATAATGCAGTATTGCTTTCACTCCTCCATGAGCTCTGCTATAAAGAAAGCATGTTATGATTAGAAAGCATATTTATACTTGACTCTGCCCAAATGGTTTCCTTACACAAGTGTGTAATGAGAAGAGGACAGAAAAAATAAACATCTGACCTAAAATTAAAATTCTATTGAAATTGGAGCGTTTATCCCAGCTCTTAGAAAGGACAACTTCAAATAAACTGCGAGTTAAATGAACAAATTGCTGGGGCAATCTGCAGCAACTTACACCTAGCACCCCCAGCAGTGAAGCAGAATACCCTTGTGGGGAAGGCTCTCCTGAAAATGTAGTTACCTGCGTACAGAACCAAATATAAGCCGAAAAGTAGAACCGCTTTTACCTGTGACAGGCTTCCTGGAGATCCCTCATAGATAGCTGGATGGAGCAGCAGTGACAACTCTTCCGTGTCCAGCAGGCAGCAGTAATTAATCTGTTTAGTGATGTGCTCTGGGTCAATGGCTTTGTCCTGCAAGAAAAAGGTAAGGGCTAACTTATGCAGGAATAACCGCAAAACTTAATGAAATGATGAAAAAAAAAATCAATTTTTTCCAGCAGAGTCTGGTTAGGCCTGGGGTAAACTTGCATCTCACACAGAGCTCACACTGCAGGGTGCAGTTAGCTTTGTCCAAGACTTCACTGCCAACTTGGCTCACTTGTTTTTGTTTTCAAACCAGACCAGAATTCTTATGAAGCTTTGGCTGCAGTACTGCTCCTTCAGTTCTTTTACCACCTCGTTCTAAGCCCATTCTGTTTTTCTGGATTGTTTTGAAATGTTTCATCTCCCTAACCCCAGATATCTGGTCAGCACTTTGCCCAAGTTCACTTTAACCTGAGGAGTGTATGATACTCGGCGGACTTGGCATTTATGCTGTGCCCACTGCAGCTCAGTGTGCACTGAAAGTGAAACCAGTGACAAAATCCCTGAACTGTGGCTTGACAAGTCATTTAAAAAATTTCTCTTTAAACCTACCTTACAGCAGTCCCTATTGCAGAACAAGTTCATCACCATCAGAGGGTTGTTTTATTTTTTCATGTTCTGGACGGTTAATGAATACATCTGTTTTTTGGAATTCAGATGTTCACAGATATGGGAGATGGATTTACATCTGCAAAAAAGAACCAGCTTTAGAAAACACTGAAAATACCTTGCGTGATCCTTGCTGTTTGTAAACACCCAAACATACCCCACTTATTTGAACAAAGGCAATATCCAAATGCAAATTGAATGAATTGCACTGTTTCTTTTTAGGAAAAGAATGTATTTATTCCCCATATGAAATGGATTTTTTCTCTCTGCCTAGTCACGATGCATCAATTTAAATTTGTACGATGCATTCTAACATTCACATATTTACATACAGAGCCTCAGACTTCTTTCAGACACCCGTGTTGTTTGAATAAATGTGCCTCCTTGCTGACATGGCTATTTGCGGGCTGCAATGCAGGCCAGAGGAGACAGGTTAAGAATGCTTCTAAGAAAAGCAGTAGAGGCAGAAGGAGCTGCAGCACTGGCAAACTATAGTCCCAAACTGAGAATCTGACAACTCTACAAACAGTGCTGCATCTAAGCCACGTGGGGGATGACAGACCACTAATGCCATCCCACAGTCACTCTATCAGCCTAGAGGAATATTCGTTCTTTCAAAAATTCACTGGGAAAGAGTCCAAGAGTCTGAACCTTGTGACCACTTCCTACAAACGGTCCTGGACGATGGCAGCATCCCTCAAACACGGGCTACACAACATGCCCGCTTACCTGTGTTGAAATACAGTGGACACGTGCAGTGGGTTGTGTTCTGAAAGGCCTCCATCCATGGCTCACAGCTACCTAGCTTCATAAGTCACTGGCACAACACGTTCATGTTCAAAATGCTCCAAGGTATCACTGAAAGAGTGAATTAAAAGACGTTCTCAGGAAAAGCAGTAAGTGTACTCACAGAGCTGATCACAGCCAATACAGCAGTGTATCTAGATCAAAAGGGAGATACTTTCTTTTGAAAGGGCCCCATTTCTTAACAAAGCAACAAAACCACAGGTGTTTTGTGAATATTCTTACAACAGCTGTGATTAATACATCCTGCTGGATGTTAGCGGGGTGCTAGGTTAGAAATCAGGGGGCTCTCACCTGGGTTCCTCTGACCTGGCCCTGAGACATATCCAGGATTTTCCAAGAGCAACTAACACTGGATAGCCAGCTTGCAAAATAGTGCCTGATCTTTCCTGAACTGTAACAACAATTCCTTGTAAAGAATTGTGAAGCTGCAACATGGAAATAGCTATTAAAGAGACTTTTTTTTTTTTTTTTTTTTTTGACATTTTCTATTTCTGCTGCTCTGGTGTTTGATTACATTTGAGACATGGGAATATACAAAAGCACATGCTTATTGTGGTGCATTGTTTACAAGGTCATTCTCATGCGTGCCTGCTCCCTCGCTCCCACATAGAGCCACGCTCCCATTACTGTTAACATTTCTGAGGCAAGGAGATGTGCTGGTTTATGGACCATCTGTCAGGCAGTGCTGGGGCACCGTATATTGATGCCATGTTTGTAGCTATCTCTTATTTGAAACAAAGTTCAGTTCAAAGCACTTGCAAGTACAGAAAGGGGAGAAAAAAGATGTTAATGTGTTTAGATTACATTAAAGTTTTAAGATTAACTAAAAGAAAGGGAGAAAAAAAGTCTGCTAATGGGTAGAGCTCAGTGGAGAGGCATTATTATATTACTTCTAATGCACATAAAGCATCTCCTATTAAAAAGGGATGGCAGTTTTACATCCTATTAAATATATCAAAGCTGTACTTCAATTACAAATCCTTTCATATGCATGTTTTAACAAATATGTCTTTGATAATAGAGTGCAGCAGTAGCTTTTTAAATGCTAAACAAGATCCCTACAATACAGCTCAAAGATAGAAAAGGAAAAGTACCAGGAGAAGGAAGGCCTATTTGGCAGAGAAGGGAAGGGATGTATTTCAATATTTTCATTTCCTTTGTAGCTCACAAGACAGAGTTTACAAACCATTCCAGTGTGCATAGTAGGATGCAGATAATATAGCACAACCTGCAGACTGTATACCGAAGGAGTTTGGCAGGATGCTATTGTTTTTTCCACATCGTTATCTTTGAAAACAAGCTGTGTGCTAATAATGCTAGGAACAACAAAAATAAAAGCAAGCCATGCTTGGCTGAGACCTGCCTCGGAAAACGTGAAATCTCACCCAGGCTCCCCCAGAAATATCTTCCCTAAGGAGAGGAGAATCTGTGTGCCCAGAAGAGGCCACGAGGTGATGATGCGCGTGGTCCTGGCCAATGAACAACTCTTCTGCAAGCCACCAAACCCTGATGCTGCCCTAAGAAAACTCAGCAAGTGAAATAGTGCTGTGCTTGAGGCAGCCTGGCGTTGCCTGACCCAGGGGGAATCGCAGCATTAAAAGGATCAAAGCAAACCAAAGAGGGACCCAACATGACCCTGAATTCAAGTGAACAAGCCCCTTCTGTCTCTACAAACAGTGACGAGGGCTGGGCAGTGCACTCCAGAGCTCCTCCTAGGTTTTCTTTTTTAAGCAGCCTGCCTCTGTCATCACTTCCCTATATCCGGACCCCTGGTACCAGAGGGTTAGCACTGCAGAACTGAGCCTCCAAGATGCTGGAGTTCAGCTCCCTGTTTCTAATCCTGCCTACCCCCAGTCTTACAATTATGCAAAACCCAAGCTCCCTTCTTGCTCAGGGTGGACCAGAGTCACGACGTTAATTAGCTCAGGCAGCAGGCTGCCACAAGCCAAGCTCCATTTGCACGGATCAGGTATTATTGACATCTGGTAAGGGAATGAGCCCCTGCCTATGGAAATGCATATGAACCCACAATTAGCTTTTTCGGTTTCCTGATGAATTAATTAAATAGAGGTTCATAAATCTTAAAAAGGAGGCAAAAGATTTGATAATAATAAAGAGCAATAATAAATTCTGCTTAGCCTTTTGTCCCCGTGGTGGTGTTTTTTTTTTTTTTTTTTATGGATATGGAGATATGTAGAGATTTAGTAAATTAAGTCACTTAGCTAGGAAATAATGATGAGCAGCAGCACGGTAGTGCCAGTAACTCTGATGCTGGCAGTGCCAAGCACCAGGACTGCCACAGCACTCACGGTGACAGGCGAAGCTGGGGCTCTGAAGAGCGAGGGAGGCATCGTGCATGCTCTGCTTCCTCTTCAGCAGAAGGGAAAGCTGGATCCAGCCTCCTTCCTTCCCTTTCCCAGAAAAACACTAAAGCATCCACAGGGAGCATGACAAAACCCACTGGCGCTGCACGTGCCCTACACACCGCTTCTCGGGCAAGCAAGGTTCACAGGACAGCTACCGTCCACCTCAGCCTGCAGCAAAGATGTCACCCAAAGGAAACGCTGCCTCCCTTTGTCTCCGGGCCAAATCCTCTGGGTGCTATAGATCAGTATCACACCGTAGAAGTCAATATTACAGATTCCAGCTGGTTAAATTGGCTTCAATCCACTCAGTCAATGAATCAGATGCTCAGCAGGTGATATACAGTGTTTGACTTGCCTAAGCAATCATTATGTCCGGAGACTCAGAGATCTATTCTGGAGTCTAAGCAAACAAGATAAAATGTGTTCCTCTCTTGGCCTCATATATATCATTTCACATTAAAAAGATTTCTTGGGTTGGACGCATCAGCATTACTTCCAGCAGCTCCTGGTGCTGAAAACTGACAGTACTTAATAGTTGTGTTTATTTCTGCTGATTTTTTTTTTCCAGCTGCTTCTATTAGCACAATGGCTAAATGAAAATTCAAATCACTATGGTGATTAGCTACAAATATTGCTTTTTGCAATGGGTTGGGTGTCCCAAGCAAACAAAGGACCATTCTTCAGTGTGCTGCAGACAGCATGACTGCGTACCTCACAGATGTTTTAGTGCAATCAGCTTTTCATTACTGGACTAAACATAACTTGTGCTACAGCTGAGAGAAATGAGTGACCTGGGACAGGAAGCAAAGGTTCCCTTACCTGGCACACCGTATTTCCTCCCCTGCAGACACATTGATTACCGAGGGGCTGGGTACTGAACGAGGTCCTGCTTAGCACGAGTGTGGCTGGAACAAGTCCTGTGTAATTAAAGAAAGGAACAAATGATCTGTCTCAAAATTTAGTTACTAATCCATAACACTGTAATTCACGGCCAGGTGCTCTTTCTGCAGCTTTTGTGCATAGGGGGAAAAAAATAACAGCTGAAAGCTTACCGATTACGCAGAAAAGAAAGGAGTTGTTTCTAGAGACACTGGGAAAACACTGCCGTCTCCTGAAGCAGGAGCTGGGGCTTCAGATGTGAAACCTACCTCTAGGACAACAGCAGCTGGGGAAGGCACAAGCTCCTCAAGAACTGGAACAGGTCTGCAGAAGAGAAAACACAGCACTGACCATGTAACAGTTTGCGGGTTTGCAAAAGGCTCTTGTGGATAGGAATGGCAGAGCCCGTTCCGTGTGCGCTCAATGGGCAGGGTAAGTCATGGCTGAGGGAAATTTGGATTAGACACGTTCTAAACATCAGAGAATAATTGCTGCAGTTCTTCTGTAGCTTATTTCTGAGGCTTGACAAAAAACATCAGACAAGGCAAAGGTAGAGCTGGTGTTGCTTTGAGGAACAAGACATCAGACGAACTCTTAAAGGTACCCTCCCATCCCATCGTCTGTTAGCTTTGAGGATAATCTAGTAATTCATTGGTAGGGCCTTGGCCCCAGGAAATCCCAAACCTTGCATCCAGAAAGAACAGAAATCACTCGTACGCAAGCATCTGAACCACTTCTCTGTTGGTTTTCTCATGAAGCACAGTATTTGTTCAAAGTATGGAAGAAAGGGGCAAAGAGCAAGCACTTAAGAGCATCCTTAATCATATCAATTGAAATCTGTGGTGCTTGAGCACATCCTTATGTGCATTGCTGAGCTGGAGATGTAATTTTTAAGGCATGAAGTTGGAATACTGGAAGAAGAGAGGCAACCCTACACGGAGAACAGGACCATTGCAGGGCTTTGAGATGACCCAACAAGAACAGCAAATTAAAAGCAGGTAAGTATTTTAAAAAGCCAAAGTAATAGGAAGGAGAGTTTTAAATACATAGCCTTTGACTGCAACACTATGGGAGAGGAGAAAAAGACTTTCTCAGGATTATTTCCCATGAAAAATCAAGAAAGATACGATCTATTCCCAATTTTGTCAGTAGCTTGCTGTGATGCTGTGCAAATCGTTGCCTCTTTTTTTTTGGCCTCATTTTCCCCACTGTCTGTCTATATTGGCTGTGCAGAGAGTGATCAAATCAATAAATGAAGCGTCTGAACTACCTGGGAGGGCACAGCACAGGGCAGCAGCCCAGCCTCTGCCTAGACCTGGTCCATGGGAGTGTTATGAGGGTCCCACCCTTATTAAGATTTCTTAATATTAATAAAAATTTTGGCAACACAACCGATGCTTCAGTATCAAGAGAAAACCGTAGCTACAGTAAAGACCTTCTCGATGCCTCAAGGTCTAGGCAGGCTCTCAGACACCTTTTTCTAACTCCCCCTTGTCTCATAGCCCGTAACAGTAAGGAAGTGAAAAGGAAAAGACATGATCAATAATTAAAAGGCTGGAAATGAACAAATGGAATGAATTGCTCCAAAAAGGGGGAGGAAAGAAACCTGAGAAATATCATCTATCTTTATCTCTCAATCTGGCGGAAGATTTGCAAACCATCTTTAAAAAGAGAGATTCTGAGGTTACACATTCACTGGTTCAGGTTTCTGAGAGATGCAGGGTTTTTTGTTGTTGTGTTTTTTTTTTCCTTTTTACATTATGCTTTCTCATTTTATGACACTTCTCCGACTTGAATCACTCACAGCAGATGGCTCCATGAATACTGGATATTTCCATAAATAATGACAGATTTCCCTTCAGTCTCCCCACCCTCCTCCACTCCACATGCCCAAGTCTTTTGTGTGCTAGCTGCAGCTCCACATTCAAATTCCGGTCAGCAAACAAGCCCATCTAGTACCATTGTCATTCCTGCAAGCCCACTAGAATCGGTAAAACAATGAACTCATCATCCCATCTGATTCAAGAGCGTTTTTTTTTTCCAAGCAATCCTTAGATAGAAGGGAAAAAAATACATGCATTTAATGGAATGGAGTGCTTTGATGAGTGGCACCAGAGAGACACTGCAGGAAGCATCCTGGTGCTAGTGGATGCCAGGTTACCTGCTCGGTGATGGCAAGGACACGTCCTCAGGTTCTCTGAAAAGCTTTGCCACCAAGGAAGCTCTGAGAGGTCACAGCAGGTGAGGAACCGGCCCTGCATTTAGTCTTCTTGGCACAGGAGGGATGGCCAACAAAACGAGGAGCCTCGAGAGTAAAAAAAGGCGTGTGAAAATCCTCGCTGCTGAGGCATGGCTTCTGTTTGATCTACCTGCGATAAATGCTGTGCGGTGCTACTGTCTTCCAGAGATAAAAGCAAGGTGGCTTTTAATTCAGGACATGAAGAGGAAAATATTAAGAGATTCTTATCGGAGCAATAATTTATGGTTAACTTATTGCTTCAAGTGCTCATAATCTGCCATCTATATACATTTCTATCAAATGACCCTGTAAATAATTAATAGATCTAATTCTGCCAGTGTTGCCAGGGCAGGTTTCCCTGCAGAAGGTTAATGCTATGATTTAATTCTTTATTTATGTGATTAGCAGCCCCAATCAGGCTGTTTTAATGAGGTCGCAGGCAGCGGATCGTCTCAGCCGCCTTGCCTGGCAGGAGCCCCTGAGCCCCCTGTACCTGAAGGATCCTCAGCTCCACCGTGCTGCCTGTGCAGGTGCCTCGTGTCTCATTCTGGCTGGTACAGGGGAGCAGATTTGGTGCCCCAGCAGAGCGATGAAGGCTCTCTGTCCCTTTCCAGGTGGCCTAACCCATATAGGACAGCTGCAGCAGTCCGGGTGAAACACAGAGACACAGGAACTGCTGCCGCACATCAGCCCCGAGGTGTGCCTCTGCCACTGCCTTTTCTCAGAGCATCCAGAAGAGGCAAAGACAGGAATAGCGCTATAGGGAGAAGCAGGGTAATATGTCACTCCAGCACTGCCTTAGGCTCATCCGTAATACTTAGGGGTTGGATCAAGTCCAAGCGACGATCCTCCCCGCGCCAACAGGAGAACCTGCTGGTTATTAGATGCTTCGTGCTCAACGCCAGGGAAGGCATTGATACAAGTGCAAGATCTCATAAATCTGCATTTCTATGGACACAAAAGCTCGAAGCTCACAACGAAAGCAGAACCAGAGTGCATTTCTTTCATTCCCTCAGCCATTTTTTTTTCCCCCATGTTTTTTTCCCCAAACCCAGCGAAAAGAAAGCCTCTCTCCGCGCTGCTCAGGGAGTTAAGGGCCAAATCCCAACGCTCATTTTCGGAGGGGCACCTGAGGCCAGAGCATTCACCCTGCCCCCTAACCTCCCACCTGACCGGTGGCCTTGCTCTAGCTGCAATGGGGTGGGCAGGAATAAGGGAGCAGGGAAAAAGCACGACCCACCTGTGTAGGACATGGCAAGATCTCTGTATTTGTTATGCACAACCTCCGTTCACGCTGGTTGAGAACAGCCTGGACGTTGCTTTTCCTTCTTTTCCTTTTCCTCTGTCAAAGGTGTCTTTCTTTCTCTCTGCTGACCTGCTCTTTTTGGTTGTTTTTCTGCATATTTTTGTTGTTGCTGATTTTGTTTTTAATTATTGAGCCTTGTTTCCCCAGCCAAACTGCCTTCAGCTTCCTGTTCTGTTTATTACACTCGGCGCAGAAAGGGATGAAAAGGAACGAACCTTGGAAGAGAAACAAAAGCCTGCAATAAGCTGTATTCTCGCTTACCCTGTAGCATGCTGACTGGGAACAAGGAGAGTTGCCACGCTGACATATACGGCCCAAAATTGGGTTTGCCACGTACAGAGATGTTAAAGGAAGCTTTTCACTGCTTCCCTCGCGGGCTGCCACTGCGCTGTGCCCTCCGTGAGCGCTCTGCCGCTTATCGGCACGGGTATAAAAATGTCCTTTGGACAAGAGGCAGCACAGGTAAGCTCTGGAGAAATCAAGGCAGGAAAAGCAGATAAAAAGCTAGCAATATTTCTGTCACTAGCTCACAGACAGGTTTATTCTAACAATTTCCACCTTGGCGAGCTCCAGGTCGCTAAAACAGCATCTGGAGCAACGAGGTAAGGTGCATAAAAAGCTGACACAAAATTCAGTGATCTCACAGAAATTCACAAACTTCCTCTACTTCTGTGCATCGAGCGGAGAGCTCATGCTCAGGCTGAGCTCTCTTCGGCTTCACTCACACTTGCTCAGTTCCAGTGCTAAATCCTGCTAAATAATAAAGAAAAGGAAATGCACAGCGTGTAAGATAAAGACTGGGCAATGCAAGGCTGCTCTTTTGATGCATGACCGTTCCCCCTTACCCTGGCAGGGAACGTTTGCCATTTGTTTCAATACATCCGTGCCTGATGTCACTTCAAAAGGAGCCGTGGAGGTGAGGGCAGTGTTCTCCCCGAGCAGGCAAATAAAAGCGAGGGAAGCGCTGAGCCCACCAGCACTGCCTGCCCAGGCTGCGCGGTACCGCGGGGCTTGGGGGAACAGCTTGGAGAGCTCTCCTAAAGACCCCACTGAGGCGGTGTCACGTTCAGAGGAACATCCTCGTTATTCTCCTGCAGCAGCAGAAGCTGCAGGGGACCCGGGGGACGGACAGGGAGGGAGGGAGCAGAGCATCCAGCGGCCTCCCGGACATCTTCACCTACGGCAGCGGGCAGGAGGCCGATGTTACCCGCTCCGTTTGTGCCGGGTGGTTTGCTGGGGGATGGATTTTTTTTCATTTCTATTTGTTTACTTATTTATTTTTCAGGAAGTATTTATCTTCTGACACTTTTCTCCTTGTTTTATTTACAAACAAAATCTCTCTGCTGAAAAATCTCTTGCCCCCAGGAGATCTCTTTGTGTTTTTTTTTTTTTTTGCTAGGAGAAAAATTAATGCAGAAAGTGCAGACGGATGAGACTGCCTTTTCCCATACCTGCCACTAATTCATAGGGCACATTCCCCTTACCCTGTCATATTTTTTACCAGTGTTGTTTGCAAAGTGCTGTTCTCTCTGATAGTACATCTTAAAACATCTGTTTTTATCCCCTGAAGTTTCCCTCTTCAATTTTGCATCCCGATTCTCTTAAAAAAACTGCAGCCAACTCTTCACACAACGCATCTCCTTTCGGTAAGGTGCTCGCCTCTGTGCCTGCCTTCAGACTGGGAGCGAGACGTCTCCATGCAGCGCGGGACACTCTGGAGGACAAAGCAAACCCAGCTCCTAGATCTGTGCCCAGGCTGACCTACATCACAAGGTGGGAGAGCTGCTTTTTATTTTGGGGGAAACCCTGCTTCTCACACGACCTGGGGCTCTGTGCCACTGCAAACATTTCACAGAGGAGCCACCAGAAGAAGAGAGACCACAGAAAGGTTGGTTTACCAGTTGGTTTGACCTGTAAATGATTGGGTTTTAACACAATACCAGGCAAACAGAGGCTCCTGATGAACCAAAGGTTCAGGTTCAGCAGCTCGTGGAGCTGAGCTGGACGGAGCAGGCCCTCCTCCCACCTGAAGCAACGTGCTTTTCTTAGCTATAGCCCAGATTTTAGGAGCTAGGGAGGAGAAAAAAGGCTCACACTGCACTTTTTTTCTTCTGTATCCAGCTGATTTACCCATCCTTCAGGGCAGTAGTGATGGCTCGGTGTCTTAGGGAACGCACAGCTCACATACTTTGCATAAATAATGGATGGTGCATTATTAGTACTTAATATTTAAGTACATAAACAAGTAAAAGAAAATTGAATCAAAATATCATGATGGGACTGACTTGTTTAAGTACTGCAGAAGGTAAGGTTACTTCAGCCTTCTTCTACTTCCAATTTGTCCACAGATCCCAAACAAAAACCCCGAGGTGTTTTCCCAGCCACACTTCTACTGCCACGCAGAACAAGAGCTCTGCCTAGTCCCGCACTCTGCCTCCCTCTGCACGACGAGCAGCCCAGCTGCCTGGGGGACAGCATAAAGCCAGGACGAGCTTGTGGAAGGATGTTCCTCCAGGCTATTTTTCAGCCTGAGAACTTACGGACCTAAAGGTGACGTCTTCGTATTTTAATCATCTTTAATGGATTTTTTTTCATCCTTGAATTTTCCAGCTCCTTTTGGAAGCTAACTACTGCTATAACCTAATGTACCATGCCTCCTGTGACAAGGAAGTCCCCAGCCTGGTTATATTTCAGTTTACCATCTGACTGCACTCCCCATTCTCCACACAGTTTACGAGCATACTGAACGCTGTGGGCCTGACCGATCCCTACAGAACAAGACCTGTGACCCTCCTCCACTGTGAAAACCTAAATCTTTCATTTCTACCTTCTGCTTCCCAATTTTAATCAATTTTTTTTGAAGCACTTCATTGCTATTGCACGGCACCTGCACTTCTTAACTGCCTTTGATGCTTTTTGTCTCCCCATGTATGTTATATCATACGTCTGGCCCATCCACTCCTCCAGGGCTACCCGACAGATTAGTATGCCATGATTCTCACTGCAAAACCCTGGCTGGCTCTTTGTCACTGGTGTTTGTCGATGCTCCCACACATACTTTATTATTACAGATTTTGTCAATTTATTTAATGTAGATACCACAGGTTTACCACATCTGAGCTCTGGGAGTCTTTCAGGAAACACTTTCAAATGCTGTTACACTGGCCCTTTTCCTCTGGTAGCAGTGCATGATCTGGGGGATGCACACTGAAGCCACCACTGCACCTATTTCATCCTTAATCTGCCAGGAGAGGCATTCCACTGTGGGAACCTCCCCATGCTCCCCCCATGGCAAGCATCATGAAACATTTCATTTTTCTGAACACTCCTTCTGCATATTTATTGTTTATTGGTCCTACAGACTCTGGCAAGCTTCCTGCTTCTCATGTATTTGAAATGGGATTTAATAGGGATTTTTTTTTTTCCTTTCTGTAAGTTTCTCCAGTTCTTCTGAACTTCCTTATTGCGTTTTTCTGTATAACCTGGGTTTATGAGCCCTTCTACTTTTCTCATTTGTCAGACCCAAGCTATTTGAAGGATGCCTTCTTGCTTTTAGTAATATGCTTTTCCTGCTGTTTAGCCACCTTACTTCCTTCTGCGTTTTTGTTTTGTTTTGTTTTTCTTTCCTCAAGGTGATCTTTTCTGATAAATGGGATGCATTTGCTCTGGGACTCCATCACTGTCTTTAAATAGTCTTTCTGTTACCTCTTAGGACTGAACTCTTCTAGCCTCTTCTAGCTTCTCCTGTTTGGAATTCAGTGTGACAGCAGTGGATGTTTGCTTTTCTTGCAGGAATGCTTCGTCTAAATGCGTTACAGTCCCAGTGGCAGAGCAGGCCTTTGACAAGAACATGATGAACTAAGCACACTCTGCTGGCCCGAATTTCGGGGGCTGCTTCAGCTCTGTGGCTTCCATGACATGGTCAGTGATGGTCTCAAAGGACAGACTTGGCATTGTACCCTGGCAGGACACTTAGCCTAGCTACAAAGGGGTCATGGCAACTGTTCATCTTGACTGTGTTTTCTGCCCTCCAAAGCACTCCGAATGTCACAGTCACCATCACCATTGTGGTCAGTCCACGGATAATTTGGGCCTAATGCAGCATTTTCCTATTTAAGCCTAAAACTGAAATTTGAGTTACTGGGAGGGCTATTCTATTGATCTGATTTGATTCCAAGCTTTCTTTAGCACAAGGCACCACTATCGCACCACTACTTGACTTTGTCTTTTATGAACATTGTGTTCCTCAGTCGTACAGTGCTCCATGACCCTCCCTCTTCCCTCTCTGAAGCTTTCAGTAGGCTTGGCAATTCAATACTGTGGCTTAGAGCTATTTCTTAGGCATTTATACAGAAACACACGACCTATCGCTCTGGTTCCATACTTCTCTGTGGCCTGCTTAAACAACGCATTATTGCTGCCAACTGTTGATTACTTTTCTTGATTGATTGTTGCCTATTTCTCCCCTGACCTTTAATTTAAGGACACAGAACTGTTATGGTTTCATCTCTGGGCAAATGTAACATCTCAGAGTTCACCTGTGTTCTAGAAGGAACGAGTTCTGACTTAGCTCCTCATGCTGCTGTGATGTTTTCTGTATTCTGTAGGCTCAAAGTCTGACAAAAGCCTGTGTAATAATTCCTGGGGACATCAGCGAGAGTTGCATCCTGTACATGCATCACGAGTACAAATTGCATCTTAACATCTTCCCTCATCTCCTCTTCAACAAGAAAAGGGCAAAGAGAAGAGCTCGTACCAAACCACTTTGTTCCTATCAAAGACCACGATATACACATACACTCTCACGCGCCCACTGATAATAAACTTGTATCACACAGCCAGCTCTAAAACAGTGCTATGAAGTGACATTTAGGCTGGGAAGCCTTAATTTAGGCACCACAATGATTAGAGTGTTTTAATATCATAATAACTGATAAATAGACTATGTGTCAGACATTTCATTCCCTTTTAATCAAAACTCCTAGTCTGCTAAATTAATCACCCCCTTGGGGTACAGTAGCAGATTTCCAATTTAGTCATAGAGCATCATTAATAATGAAAAGTTCTGCAGGCAAATTCTTCTATTCATGTTCTTTTGTATGATCCAGCAGGTTTAAAGAGACAAGACGGAGAACACAGAAGACATCAACACCTTCCAGCAATCCAAATAAATAAACATCATCTTTGATGTCAATCCTGTAACGACACTCCTCCTTGAATATTAAGGATATCACAAAACCTAGCAAGACAGCGAGAAGAGTTTTGATTTTACTAAACGGTATTTACAAAATTAAAGCTAAAAATGCATGAGAAATGGAGAGTAACGTTGCATTTTGAATAGCTCCTCTATTGTGGCACTGTAAATTTGGTTTCATTAGGCTGACTAATTTCAGAATTAAACTGCATGTGCACAAGCATTCCTTATGTGGTAAGCATTCTTTTTTTTTTTTTTCCACTAAAAACTTGTAAGAACGTTTTTTTCTGTTCTGCTGAATTTTAAACAAACTTCTGTGTAAAGAAGAAATTACGCCCCACCCACTAGCACATGTGTTTCATTTACTGCTCAAGTGATCTCTAACTACATATAGAAGTCCTTGACTTGTTTGATGACTGTGGTATTTGGGGAGAGCGACTGGCATCAACTATATGCAGGGCTAAGGGCAACACTAATTTTGCTGCATTTTAGGGAAGCGCGTTCCCTTAACAACCCCATTTTCAGATTCTTCTGTATGCAGAACAGCGGGCTGGCACTGAGACAGCAAGATCTCCTACGGACACAGGTCCCACTACATTTTTAACTGCCCATGCAGTTCTCCCTGCCTACTCTGGTACGTGCAGCAGTGGCACAGGGACTTAGTAAGTCCATGTAGCCCTCTTTTGCCATCCCCACAGTTCCCCACACTGTTATCTTTCCGCACTCTTGCCAGAATCAACACAGCGAAGGCACTTTCAGGCAGCCACCAGCTACCTGGGATTTACGAGCTGACAATCTGCAAACACTCCATTGCTTGCAGCATATATTGGGCTATCACACTCAGTGTGCCAAAAAAGCAACACACATTCACCTCGCTTGTGCTGGGATGACAACCAAAGTAAACACATTGCTTATTCACACAGACGGAGCTACAACTGTTAGCACAGCAAGTTTCTCCATATATCTGTCTCCGCATCTCTGTTCAGAGATCATCTCTGCCTAATGCACTGCTTAACTTTACGCCCCACAAGCCATAGGCAGGCCTGTGCTCCCTGAGCAGGAGAGCTCTAGCTCGGAGCAAAGAGCTGATTAGAAGATTCCTCTCTGTTCCTGGGGCTTGGAGGAGTTTCTCCAGGTGTGTGAAGCTATCAAGTAAAAACCCTTTGGCAAATCACTCTGGTGCGCTGACAGCCCACACCACTCCTATCCCTCCTCCACTGGAAGAGCTGTAAATGTCCAAGGCCAGAGAGTGCTGCTGAAGCAACAAGCAGGAAGGATTTACGGCCGACAGTAACACCTGACCTCATCAAACTCCACTCCAGGCCATTTATCACTCCTCTGCAGGAAAGCAAAAGCACGAGAACTGGGGAGGGATCAGGAGAGAAAGAAGGAAGGGAGAGGGAATCACAGACACTTTAGCTCCGCTAAAAGGTACAGAAAAAAAAACACCAGCAATTCAGACAAGTGCCTAAATGCCCTTGAAAGCCAGCATCTGAGGGAAAATAAAACAAACCTAGGCATTAAGTGAAATGGATTTAAAACAAAAGCTGAAATTTATCAAAGAGCCAAGTAACCCCTTGTCTCTAAAGCTCCACGGCAAAGAAAAAGGATCTGTCTGGGACAAGAAGCAGATATATCTCCCATAACAGGCGAGAGAATGCAGAAGAGATGTTACAAAGCCCTTCTGTTGAGTGGCAGCCCCAGGGAAGGTGACAAACCTACCTTTGTCCTGGGGGATGCAGCCAGCAGAGCCTTGTGCAGGGAGTCATACGGGATGGAGTCTGACAGCTGCTGGGCTTTGCCTCCTTGCCATGGCGGTGTAAAAACCCAGCAGACACACAGGTGAGGGGACAGCTGGAACTACGTGGTTCCAGGTGGAACAGAAAGATCTTGAAACGACAGCTGGGGGGAACTCGAGCACTCTGATCACCTGGGCCTTTTGCTCGAACAAATGTTGCTCCAGAGGAACATTTCTTCATGTTTGGCTCACCGCTGACGTGCACCCTGGTTTCTCTCCCTCCGCTCTGTATTTCTGAAAAGCATACACAAAGATAGGTCACGGGAGGTTCCTTCAGAGCAGGAGCAGAAAACCTCTGAGTACAGGGAGTAATGAAGGAGAATGAAGACTTCATAGGAAACATGTGTGATTTGTTTCAGTCTGCCCTTCCAAATCTCAGCCCCCCCAGGGATGCATTTCAACAGGTGCCTAAGAAGAAAAGCACTCCAAACCCTTCTGAAAAACCCGATTTTATCAAAACAACCTGAAGCTGAGAGGCACCTTCGTTTTGCCTGGCAGGAACAGTGCTGAGAAGAGGATTGCAAGAGCACTTACCAGCCTTCCAACCACACACATCGGCCTAATTAAGGCAGCTGGGACCACAGCGGCCAGTGATACCACCAGGAGGCAGAGAGCTGTGCTGCCTCGTAGCCCCTGTCCCTTCATACTGGTGATTTCTGCTGAACCAATGTCTGATGACACAGCGTGAACATGGAAATCTCCACTGAAAACAGCCTCGAGGATGGGTACTCTACTCAAGGTACAGCATGCCTCTTCCACTGTCTTACATTTTATATTGCTACTGATTTATTTATTTTTATAAATAGTCTTATAAAAGCTATTTCTACTGACTTTCTGCCTCTGGAGAACCTAACCCATTTCTTGCACTCCCATTAGTTTTTGCTCTGTTACATCTGCTTAACTTAACAAACTCAGCTGACTCATATTCGTCAAGCTACTGCTTACTATTTCTCCCTATTCTGTTGCTGACAGATGCTGTACACCATCTCCTGTCTTATCTTCAGCATTACTTTGAAGCTGTTTCTCTAAAATCAAAGAGCATATATGAGTGGAAATAAAAAAATAATAAAAAAAAAAAGGTTTTATTTTTCTGTGAGAGGAGTTTGGGGTATGAAAAGCAAGTGGCAAAGAATTGGGCCCTAGAACTGAAAGCTGCCCGGCTGGAAACAGCCCCTTGGGAAATGCAGTTTGCCTTGGTCTCTTGCTGATTCTTGCCTGTGGATCTGGTGAGACCACGTCCTCCGTGCCCAACACAGCCCTGACTTGGAGGGAGAAAAGCACAGAGCAAGGCAGGGTCTGGGGGTGCAGCACAGCAGGCACAGCCCCGCTTCTCAGCTGAATGAGATTAAGGCTACAGAGCTGCAGCTTCCAGCAAGCACCCTCATTAACCAAAATTTCTGAAAAGCGCACTCTCTTCCTGAAATGTGTTATTTATTAAAAAACCAACAAGATATTTTCCATCAAAAGACAGCATTGGCTGACTTTTCAGTAATCCTAGCACCAGACAAATTACAACATTCCTCAACCACAGCTTTCCAACCCAGTAATCCTACAAAGAACTGCACAATCAGAATTTTAAATGCCCTGGGAACTGAGTTAATACCAGATGGTATCCAGCTATATTCATCATTATAATTTCCTAATATTATATTAACATTTACTAGTTTAGCACTTGAATCATCCAGCACGACACTGCTAAAATGTATGTCCTGAACTCCATACTGAGCAGAACAGTTTTGACTCTCTCTCCTTGGCTGTCATGTCTTCAAGTTCTTAATAATCGTGATCTTTTAACATTTTATGGCCTTATGAAAAGTGCAGGCTTCCACATATAATATTATTTTGTCTTTTCAGTTACAATCACAGCATTAGATCAATCTATAGGCACTTCTGCCTTTTTAATAGCTTCTAGGTTTTTAATAATATCAGGATGAAAATGTTACTTTCTTTTCGATTGAGTAAAATATGGTTCATGAACAGATCAGGCAATTTCTACACGGGTGAATGATCAGAGCTGCCAATTTGCTTACGTTGTTATCCTTCCTGACAGCACAATTGCAAGCAATGTTGGAAATTTCCTCATATCCAACCTCACAGTAAGGCTGTTTTCTAGTACCAATGCAGTAAAAGTTATACGTGGTTGCAGAGATCTGCAATGGTTATTTTTATGGTGTTGTTTTTTTAATGTGTAACATATGTTTTCAAACTCTGTTGGTGCACGTTTCCCTTGGAAGAATTCTGCATTTTTTTTTAGTGTTCGGCAGTAAAAAGCAGTTTCCTCTCCCACTCTTCCCACTCTGTGCCTCTCGTGTGGGAAATACAACTGACTGACCAGCTGACCTAATCCCTGCTCTCCCAAGAAACGAGCCCTTTTCCAAAGAAAAAAAGGAACAGCTCATCAAGCAGCGTTTTCTTGGCTTTCCAGTGAGTATTTTGAACAGTGAAACTCTTTCTCTTTTCACTGCAATATGAAATAAATAACTCATGGAGAAACATTATCTCGGTGGCCTGTCTTTGCCTTCACACTTTATTCTGGGCACTCTTACACAGCAACCTCCCCAGGCAGTGGAATTGAAGGTGTATCACCTAAGTCTGACCCTAATATGATTCCTCATAAGATGAGGCATTTACCTGCATACGAAAACAATCCAAAATCAACATCTCCAGCAGAAAACACTTTGGAACAGCTATTAGCTGTTAACTTTAAATTAACTGTGAGCCAGCTCTGCCAGCCCCAGTCTGGCCTTACCAGGACTTCTTATCCTGTCAGAAACACCATTGTTCTTTTAACTTTTTTTCCCCGTTATCCTTCTGCCTTCCTTTTTGCCTTTCTTTGCTCCCTGCACCAAGCAAAGAGGAATAAGTGGTCCCTCTGTGGCAAAACCTGGCCCATGAAGAAATGGTGGTCTCTGCCAGTCTGATAACCCGCAGGTCAGACCCCTGCGAGGGATGCTGGATGAGCTGGTGGATGGCATCCCTCCATAATGCTATATAAAAGGAGACGCACCCTTTAACCCCAGCCAAGGTGACATCAAGGCTGGAAGATACCTCTGTGATCACCCAGTCTGATGTCCTACGGATAGGATTTCGCTCTGTGCTTCTTAGATCATGAGGAAGCGATGTACAGAAGACGGCTTTGAAAGCATGCAGCAGTTTCTAAAACACCTTTCTCAAAAACACCATTAATTAAAAAGAAAATTGACAAAAGTGCATGACATCATATTTTTTTTTCCTCTGAAATGGGGTTATCAATAATGTATCATTTGTTTTAAAGGAATGGATGCAAAAAAGTACACAGGTAAATGGCTACAGTAATTTACTGTGGCTCCTTATTGCAAGGCAGGCTAAATATACTTCTCGAGAGGTTTTTTTTTCCTGCCAGCAAGCATCCTTGTTAGTGTGCCTCCTATCCATCATATCAGGGAGTTTGGCTCCATCCCCCACGACACAAGCAAGTGACCAACCTGCAGCGAGCACCCTGCAGTATCCAGAAGGACGTTTGCTGTTCTCTGTTGTAGTCACAAAACGTGAATGGCAACGTCCTCAGTGTGCCCACACAATGTAGGAGCTCAGCTATCATTTTCAAAGTGGAACTGGGTATTTGGGTGTCAAAAAATCAAAAGGATTCAATTGCAAAAGTGCTGTCTAGTCCAATTCTCACTGGACACAGCAACGTTTAGACATTCAGTACTGTCTAAAGGATCCTAATGCCTCAGTGTGTGCTGAGTCCCATGCAAACGAGGTGTCTATAAGGATCAAACCCCACAATAACTCTAAAAATGGCACACCTGGGGTGCAAAATTACTTGGTAATTGCAGAAAATATGTTTTGGAAACTGTTATAATTTGGGACTAAAGCCATGTCAGCCCCTAGCCTCCCTGCCACGGACAGCAAGTGGCAGCAGCTGGGGCCTGATGCCATGCCAGTATTTCACTTCCTTTTTCCATGCAATGTATTTTCAGTGTGGTAAAATGAACAAAGAAATCACCAATCCCAAAGGGCAGCATTGTGAGGATAAACTGTTTACATTAACCATATAACCGTGATCTTAGTTTGCCTACCCAATGCCTTCTGCAGCTACAATTTAACGTCCAGGAGCCTCCTGAAAGTCTCTGCTTCTGTCCCGGGTGGGCACCCTGTGCATGGTGGTGAAAGATGCCCAGCCCTGCTCAGTCAAACACACGCAGGCTTTCTTTTGGGCAACATTTGGCCATGTTCACTGTTATTCTAGGTCCCCAGATACTGCCTGGTCAAATGTAAAATGTTATGGTTTGCTGAAGCAGCAGCAGAAGAAAAGGAAACGTGGAAGCTGGTAGCAGATTTGCCCCGACAGGGGTAATAAAAAATTTCAAATCAAGTCCCTGCACTGTGAGTCTGTCCTGGGCTTCCCCTGCATGGCAGGTACCAGCTACTACAGAGCAAGCTCCTTTCCATTTTTCCTGCAGTCATCCACTAACATAGAAATATATATTAAAAGTAAATCACAACACAAGCACCAATTTACCTGGAGGGCAAGAGAAAATCTGACTGGATAACCCACTCTTGATGATGTTCATGAGACCAAGGCTTCAGTCCCTACTCTTCCCCCACACCTGGTGAGTAACTTGAAGAGATCAGATAAGAATAGAGGGGTTAATTAAGAAGCAGCAATTTGTATTATATGCCAGCATGATCAACAGTCCACTGAAATCAATGGAAAGGATCCCTGTAGTTAATTCAAATTAATTAACCCAACTAAGATTGACTCTTGAGTGCAGTATGCAGCAAGCCAGAAATCAGAGGCAGAATTATATTGTGTATAACTTTATGCAGGAGATTAAAAGCAAATATATAGTCAGGATAAATGAAAAAATATTTTCTACATATCCTTAAAATCACATGTAACCCTTTGCACGTTGAATTTCAGCTGAAACTACCCAAAGAATTACTATAAGCCATTGTATTTTGCAAATAAAACAATAATAATAATTTTTAAAAATCAAAACACACACTTCCTTTCTTTTAGACATGAAGAAAAGCATAACCATTAAAAACAAAATTCTCATCAAAGAAAAATCTCGCGCAACAGGAATGGGAAAGTAGAAGTGGAACTTGCCATTCTGAAAAATATTAAAAAAAAAAAAAAGGGCTGCAAAAATAGGCTGCGCCTGGCCCCCGGCCTCACACAGCACAGGTGCTTCTGGTGACAGCTACTCACTGCCCATCCTAACCCCTAGGTCCTTCCCTCCTAGGCAACCTGAACATTATTCTCCCACAAAAAATCAGTGCTGAAGAGAACACAAAATACACCTTTGCATCCAATGAGCTGGCGTATGAAATCAGATTTTCTAGTTCAGAATAGCTGAGAACATTTCTTTAAGCTTGGGCACTGGTCAAATATCCCCTGGATTATCCAGCTGGTCGGAGGCTTGATGTGTGCCAGGCTGGGGCACAAGCCATGCTCACGCTGTAACTGTCCATGCCAGCAGTCCCACACCCACCTCCTTACCCTATGGTAAGGTTTGCAGGTTGGCAAATGGATTTTCCAAAGTGTCAAATGACCAGCAACTTAAAGAGGCTTATCTTTAAGCATCCAGCATGTGCAACTGAAGTTACCTTTAAGGGGAAGACAGACAACAACCCGTATTAGCTGGGTATTTCCCCAGATCAAACCTTTTAACAGAAAGACACAGTTTTCATGTACTCACCCTAACAAACAAAGTTCCACCCAAGCTGGCTCAATGTCCTGCAAGCTTGTCAGGCTGTCTGCTACTGAAACCAGGACTGCAGGGTGCACAGCTCACGAGTCTTCCTCTCCCAGGAAGCTCCCCACGATGAGGAAATTCAAAGGCTCTGGGAGTTTCCAAAGGGCTATGCAGCCAATAAACATCCTGCATCTCTATAAAACCCCTGATGTCTTTCAGATGAGATCATGGAACAGGTTCATTTTTCTATTTTTCCCTTGAACAAATATCACACAACGGGTAAAACAATATGGAAGCTTTAAATCCAAATCAATGAGCCGTTATTACCTCCCCAAGGTCACTCCGACAGTTTTATTATCGAAGACACAGGAGCAAATGTTGCAGAAGCAATGTGGCAAAAGCACCTATGTATTATACCTCTGTGCATGGTGTGAAGCTAAATTACTTCAGATATTGCATTGGTGATAGTTCTGGTAATATGTTTTCAGACCAGGTCATGTCACGTCCACGGATTATGTATGGAACTGTCAAAAACTTCCAGAAAACCTTCACTGCTTTGTGCATGCATCTGTGCGCTGGTAGCCAATTCCACGATATCACTTATAAAGGGCCAACAAGTATAAATGTGGGAGAGCAGCTAGGATTTAGTCTTGCACGTACTGAATAGCAACACACATTGACTCCTAACTGATCATGACCAAAAAAGTATCTACGTTATATCTTCCAAAACACTAGAAAAATGAAGGAAAAAATACAAGAATATGAATATAATCCGTTTCATAGCAAAGTGATGCAAAGATCCTCCCTGTTTTTCCAGTGAAAAACACCATGAAGGCCTGAGAAGTTTTCCCACTGCAGATCCCAAAATCCATCACCAGTCAGAGTGAGACAGCCAGCCCCCTGCCACCACCTGGTACTCCTGCTGGCGATGGCGTGTGTTTTGCTGTCTGACTTAGATGCATGCACACATATACACACGTGCACACACAGCACCTACACTTGCAAACACACCAGCGCCAAGCAAAAAAAGCTTTACATGGTTTTCTTTTGAGAGACGTGCCCGAGCCAGATGGAAATATGCCCAAATGCACGGAAGGAGCTCAATGGAAACATGTTGGCAGGGCTCAGCTGGGTTTATCTACGCTGTTAAAGGCAGTATCGGATGGTTTTTCTCCTCCTAGGAGTCCCAGGGAGGCCTGAAATACAGGTGGGAGATCCTGGTCTGGGAGCAACTGAAAAGCACAGACTTTCCTTCATTTCTTGCCTGTGTAAAACTTTCTCCGCTCTCCAATTTCTCCAAGGAACTTTTGTTATGATTCTCCAGCTATTCTCTGGTGCCAAAGAGGGCAGCAAGCAACTAGGCGGTTGCTTTTAGCACACAGAAAAACATAAGCTTTGACAACTCTAGTCTTGGAAAACAATAGCTCCCTTCCTCTGCAAATTAATTTTAATAACTGTGGCTAGTTTGCTGTGAGTCGAGTAGTTTTGCATGAACACACACAATTAAATTAATATGCAAATGTTCCCGTTCCTCTGAGAATACTAAGAGGCATTCTTTGCAGCATGGGAGACAAGGAGGAGGGAAAAGAAAAAACTCCAGCAGCCCCCAAAAGAGGCTTGTTTAGCAGGGTGGGACTTGTCTGTGTTTGGCTAAGCCACTGAAAGGGGATTCGAGCCTCACTGAAACAATGCTTGCTGATGAAGCAGAAATAAAGGAGGAAGAGGAGCCTTTGGAGCTAAAGGAAAGAGGAAGAGACCGGAGCATCCCAAGTTGTTAAAACCTGACCCCAGCAAGTCTAAATCTTCACAAAGGTGGCATTTACTGTGTCGGGCCTCACAAAGGTTCCCATTCTTCCCTTGCCTGCGGGGACTCCCTCTTTCTCCATCCATGTTTGAGCAAGGGCCTCAGACAATTAGCACAGCCTCTGGCCCTTCACCCTCCGCCTGTCAATCAGCTCCCCACGCAGATAGGCCTCAGGACAAGAAAAGATGGTTTCCAAGCCGTTTCGCCCTTCGGCTCGTATCTATGCACCAAGGGGGGCCCGGGGATGACGGCCTGGCTGGGAAGGCGTCGCAGGGCCTGGCGGCAGACACCTCCGCTGCCCGGGGCACCGCAGCACGCAGGCAGGGCCCTTTGTAGGGCCGGGGCATGAGAGCGGGATCCTGGACAGGCTTCCCAGGAGCCTCCGTCCTCAGCCACAAAGGAGCCTGTGGGAGCTGAGAGGCAGGAATGACTTAGCAGCCGCCAAAAGTTATTGTGGCAAGCGCGACCCTTTCACTCGGGCCCTGGCTTGCTGGCTTTGTGGGCCCAGACAAAAAGAGCCGCTTCCCAGGCAGCAGATACATCACCGGAGAGAGCGTCTGTGTGACAGGAAGATTAGAAAGGAGCGGGTGCGTGGAGGCAAACAGGCGAAGATGTGGGGAGAGGAGGAGACGGGACACAAAGGTGCTCCTTTCTCTGACCACCTGCACCAGGCTGAGGGGAACCAAGAGCACCGACTGCAGCGGGAAGGCATGCGAAGAGGGGCCGGGGGGCAGAGAGAGGGCACAGCTCCCCGTTCCTCTCACAGAATCACAGAGTATTCGGGATTGGAAGGGACCTTGAATGATCATCTGGCTAGATGATGCCTAAATCGCCTCTCCTGCCAGCCTGGGAGCGAGGAGTGTGGGGCACTGTGAAGTGAGCGAAACCACGGGGCAGCTGTGACACCTAACAAGTTTTCGCTCTCCTTTACTTCTTATGCTGTCCTTACTTCAGGCATGAGAGCGCTGTGAAGGAAGGGAACTGAAATTCATCCAGAAGAATCTGAAGGTCCTATTATTAGTTACACAAGCAAGTGTTTTGCTAGAAACTGTGCCCATTCCTTAAATTCTCATAAACACAACCGTAGGGAGAGGGTGCAAGTTATTAACGTCCTTCTTCTGTTGTTGATGTGCGCCTGCCATCCCTCATTCAGAGGAGCCCAGCGCTTCTGCGAATAAAAACAAACAACTTCCCTCTCCCCCTAAATTCCTAATACTGCTTAAAATCTCCATGAGATTTTAATAAAAAGGGATCCAGTTTGTTTTTCATTTACCTTCTGGTTTCAAGTCTTTAAGAAACAATTTGCTGTGCAGCTTTGATGGCTAGAATAAATAAATCATTAAACAAATCAATCAATAAATAAAGTGAACAAAAATAAATAAATCATACCTAAAAAAAAATAATACAACTGACATTTTCACAGTCCCCAGTTCCCAGGAGCTGGCATAGTAAGGAGTGCACCAGATTGTGCCGTGCTCTGAGAAACACTAGAAAATTGTATTAATAGTTTTATGCATTATTGTTGCCTTCCTGCTATTATTACTAAGCCTTTGCTGTGTTTCTCTTTCCCTGCACACAACGTCTGCTACTGAGTCTCTGAAAAAGGAAAACGGGAAAAGGGCATTAATATTTGTAGTCACAGGCTAAGACTGCAGCATGTGATCTACTGTACAAACTGGAAAGGTAAAGATTGTGCCCTGAAAGGATCAGGCATCAGATAAGTGGTGGGTGGGAGAACACGCAGAAGCAGCGAAGCCATCGCTGGGCCTCGGGGGTCTAGGCCTTGATGGCAGAGGTGATGCCCTTAATTTTAATCTCCTTGAGGAGCACAAAGAGAAGAAGGATTTATGATACAAATAAAGAAATTACTGTGAATAAAATGTCTGTCTGGGCTACGGTGAAAAATGTTTGGGCCAGAGTTTTATTGTGTTTTTGTTTAACCTCCTCACACAAGGCAACAGAAGGAACTGAAGAGAACTGGCTCGCGGCACAGGGGAAACCTCAGCCAACACCTTTGTACAGACAGCAGAAGGCAAACACAGGCCACGAACGTTAGCTCGGTTCTCATTTCGAGTGGGCTTTGGAGTCCCAAAGGGATCTGCAGGCACAAATACAAGTTTTTTAATATGAATTT